CTGAGAATTTGCGCTTGCGTGGGTCGAAGATTTCCTGTCCCGGGATGCTGGAGAGGGCGAGGTCGGCGGGGTCGGGCTCGTACCTGACCGGAACCTGGATCTGGTCTGGATCTATGGGACTGGGTGTGTCACGTGAGGGGAGAACTGAGGGAGAAAGACCGAGACAGAGAAGAGAGAAAACCAATCAGGATTTGTTTAAACATGTTTATTGTGTTTGCTTGTGTTATATGTTTGCTCAGCAAGTTTTCTTTATATAAAAGAAGTAGCATAATTAAAACATTAACATCATTTTAAAATGCTTATTAGACCAGATACATTTATTTTAAGAAGTAAAAAAAAAAAAAAGGATCAAGTTTCATGTCCTGTTGATTTTTGGTTATGTGCAATACCACTAGTGGACACATGAACCCACCTTATAGACACACATATTTACAAATATTAAAAATATTTGATTAAAAATCGAAATAATAATCATCTGAATAAGTAATAATGATTAATAAAAAATACTATAAAAATAAATATTAGTTTTATAGTTGTTAATTATAATTTTCGCTACAAAATAACACTAATAATAATAATATTTGTATGTTTATAAATAACGATATATATATAATTATTACTATTACATTATAATTTATTGTTTTATAATAGTAATAAATATGTATTTATATAATCGTTTTATAGTATAATTTATACCACCAATTAATAATATAAATAATAATGTTATAAATATGGTATTATTATTTACATAATTGTATATAAACAATAATAATTATTATTATTACATTATTAGTTGTTGTTTTATAATATAATTTGAACTACAAAATAATAATGTGAATAATAATATGATTTTTAATTATGTTATATATACATTTACTTATATTGTATATAATAATGTAATATATTAATATAATAATGTAAGTAACTAAGCTTATTGCCTTAAAAACACACTGCATGCACACTGATGCAGTAAAGGTGACTGCGTGATTGATTTTAACAAAGACGTCAAACACAAGAGCAAGCGAGTGTGTTGTGAATGTGTGTGTGTGTGTGTGTGTGTGTGTGTGTGTCTGTTCGTTAGTGAAGGATTAGAAGATCAAATTAAACTCTTGACTGATTTAAGGGTCATTAAACAGGAGCGGAGAGCCAGGAGCTGGCAAACGTCCACACACGCAATCACACACACACACACACACACACACACAATCCTACTGAAACACACACTAACACAAATTTAACTGCACGGAACGCAGACACTCTGAATCACACAACCATAATATACAATTAAACTCAAAAGCTACTTGTCCTTCATGAGCCGCAGCAGCATGAATATGAGGAGCTGTACAGAAACACACAGCAGGAGTCAGAGGTCACAGCTGTAAGCAATGGGAGGTTTTGTCATGACCCAGATTGCTGCTTAAGCCTGACGAAGCTCTGTCTCTGTGTGTGTGTGTGTGTGTGTTTCCCTGCCAGATTACAAACCAGTAGACAGTAAATCATGAACGACTTTATCTAAACTGACCCGATCAAGACCCGCTTTATGACGGTCAAACGGCCAACACTTGACTCAGGACTTTTTTTCTGAGTGAGATGTAATGATAATATTGACTTATCTTCACTGCCTTTAAACGATCATATTATGCATGTTCATGCTTATGAGACAGAATCCAATAATAATAATATCATTATCATATAGTATAATTATGAGTGACTGTTTAGGGTCTACAAGTAGGATAAGAAATATTCAAGACAATACATAATATATAATAAATAATATATGATTAATTCATAATAAATATTAATATAATTCTAATAAGTATTATTAGTATTTAAAATAGTATAATAAAGTAATATAATCTCTAATTATAATAAAACGTATAATAATATATTTATTATGTACTAAATATAATACTATATTCATCTATCTATCTATAGCAAACAGGATAAAGAGAATATATTCAGAGAAAGATTAGATTAGGCTACGATTAAACATTATTTCAATATTGCACCCGCAAGGAACAGAAAGTAAACAGTCACTCATTAGTTTAATGGTTAGTAGAAAAGCCTGGAAAATGAAGTGTGTGCGTGTTTCTAGATCTTCCAGACGTATTCCTGTATAACAGCTCTGATCTCCGCACGACGCCGTCTGAATAAACCTTAAATAAAAAATTTTTTTTTTAGTCTGTTCCTCTCGGTCAGTCGGAGCATCTGATCTAGGCCCTTAGGGGTGGAGGTCTGCTGGCCAATCACAGGCCTCTGTCCGGAGCGGAGGGCGGAGTCTGAGCGCTGACGCAGTGAAAGAAAGCATGTGAGAGTGCAAGTGCTGGGTGGCACAGTAGCCCCTCACGGCAGAACACAAGATCCAGGGGGCGTGGTTGGATCCACATCTAGAGGGTGGAGATGGGTAGGTTGGGCGTGGGTGTGAAGATGGGTGTGTTTAGGTATATGCAAGGTGGGGGGAGTTGGATCAGGATCCAACCACGCCCCCCGGATCTTGTGTTCTGCAGTGAGGACCATCTCGGGTAGAAGAGCATTCAGGGGTGTGATCGTGACCGTCCCATGAACCCCAGCCTTCACTTCCTTCACACTCACACACACACACACACACACACACACGGAGGGAAGGGAGGCGTCTGCGCTCGGGGAAGTGGACGGCTGCAGGAAAAAAAACGCCCTAACAAGCTCTATTTTAACCTCTGATAGGAGCACTGCTAAGAGGTGAAACGAGCCGTGAGCAACGGATGTCAGCGAAACTGACACAAAACCAACATCTGCCATTAAATGAGCAGCTATTAAAGTCTTAGACTCTGAATGTCACCGCATTTGACAAGCAAGTACTGTTTACACCACAAGCACACACGAAAAAGAGATGTATACTATATATATGTATAATAAATGTAAATGTAAAATATTAAGGAAATTAAGGAAAAAGGTAGAAGAACAATGTTAATAATAACAATACAATTATTTTTATTAATATTATATAATAATAATAAAATTAAAAACAGAATACAATGTCTCTATCCAAATATAATATATGATAATAAGAAAAATATAATGCAATAAAACATGAAAACAAAGTTACTTGAGTGTCCAAGTATTATACTATTATAGTTTTCATTAAAATAATAATATTAATGTTTTGAATCCATTTTAAATATATATTTTCTGTTTTAATTTTAGTTGAGGCTTCATTAATTTTGTTGTGAGTTTTTGTCAGTTTTAGTATTTTTTTATATATATAATGTCTATATCATTTTTTATTAATTATTGATAATTAATAATTATTAATAAAGAGTTATTTTAGCATGTCCTGAAATAAAATTGGAAATGTGGCCTTGCTAACTTGCCAATATATAATTTTTAATCTAGTTAATGTCGATTTTATTTCAAGCAACATAATTTTTTTTTAATACATTTGAGCAAAATTAAAATTACAATACAATTTTAATATTTTTTTTAATTTTAATTTTACATTTTTTGTAATTTTGATGGGTCTCTCTCTCTCGCTATAGTTTTTATTAATTTTGTATTAATAAAAAAAGTGAATCGTTTTTATTTATAGCATTTTAATTTCAATTTAATTTGTTTGTCAAATTAATTAAAATGAGAAATGTTTGCAACTTGGCAACTACCAGAAATAAAAAAAGTTGATTTTATTTTAGTTCAACTATAATAACCCTGGTGTCCAAATACGTTTTTGAGTTCAGTAAGTGTTTTCGCTTATTCTAAATTTACAAGAAACTCACTAAAACATACTTTGTATTCGGTTTCATTTAAATGTGTGGTATAAAACGGTTACGGAGAGTTTTAAGGAGCAGCGGACTGCAGATAAGAGCCACTAATAGGATTTAGCGCGAGGAGCAGCTTTCTATTGGCTGTGTGCTTCTGGACTGCTCCACGGTCCAGGACTTCATCCGATCAGGAATTCTGATCTTCCCTGAAAACACAAAATCCCTCTGAAGCCGCCAGCAGTGAGGAAGAGCATCGGGAAGCCTGGTTTATTTGAGTCAGTCTGTTTGTTTGGACAGTTTGTTGGAAAGAACTGGTTGAAAATACCTGATTACTTTGAGTCAGCAGTAGTGAGTAACTCAAACACACAGCAGACAGCGACACATATATGTTTGCTTACTTTGGTTTATATCCAATTTTTTTTATATGCAGTTGTTTTTCAAAGATACATTAGGCTACTACTTTTAAAATGGCCATCAATGGAAAAACAACCTTTTTTTGATTTTTGAATGTTGCAGTTGCAACATTGACCAGCAGGGGCTGAACTACACCACAATTTAAAAGTTCAAAAATTATTATTTTGATTCAATTGTACAGGTTTTTTTTTCAGCAAGGATGCATTGAATTGATCAAAAGTGACAGTGAAGACATTTATAATGTTACAAAAGATTCCTATTTCGAATCAATACCGCCCTTTTAAACTTTCTATTCATCAAAAAAAAATCAAATGTATCACAGTTTCATAAAACTATGAACTGTTTTTAACATTGATAATGATCAGAAATGTTTCAGCATATTAGTAATGATAGGAGTAATGATGCTACAAATTCAGCTTTGATCACAGGAATAAATGACATTTTACAATATATTGATATAGAAAACAAATCTTTTTAATAGTGATAATATTTCACAATTTTACTGTTTTTACTGTATTTTTAATCAGTAGCCTTGGTTAGCCTTGGACACTGGTTCTGCCCTCTGCGTTTGTTTATAAAGTGAAAAAAAGTGAAGTGACATGTGGCCAAGTTTGGAATTAGTGCTCTGCATTTATCCCATCCAAAGTGCACACACACAGCAGTATAGAAAACAAATCTTTTTAATAGTGATAATATTTCACAATTTTACTGTTTTTACTGTATTTTTAATCAGTAGCCTTGGTTAGCCTTGGACACTGGTTCTGCCCTCTGCGTTTGTTTATAAAGTGAAAAAAAGTGAAGTGACATGTGGCCAAGTTTGGAATTAGTGCTCTGCATTTATCCCATCCAAAGTGCACACACACAGCAGCACCAGTGAACACACACACACACACACACACACACAGCAGTGAACACACACCCGGAGCAGTGGGCAGCCATTTTTCTGCTGCAGTGCCCGAGGAGCAGTTGGGGGTTCAGTGCCTTGATCAAGGGCAC